TTGGATATTCATCAAAATGAATTTGCCTGAGAGAGGAGAGAGAATAAAAACGACTATCAGGACTGCTTTTAATGCTACAAACATGAGATACTATGATTTGTATCAGGTTGCCGACAAGAAGTATCTTACGTTATGGGAGATTGGTAGGTTGCCTTTGGAAGAGAAAATGACACTTATTAGTAATTTGAGTATACCACGCGAGAAGTGGCAAAGTTTAGGCATTGAGGCCGGTAATGCGGATGAGGAAGGTGGTGAAGGGGATACCACGGGAAATGAGCAAGATGTGAAAACTGGAGTTGAGGGTGAGAACACTGCGGCACCTCAAAGAAGGACACAAGGATGAATTGAAGGAGGAACGGGATGACACACTTATGAGGGGCTTTATGAGTTGGTAAACCGCAAATTTGATGACCTGAGTGCTCAAGTGAATTACGGATTTGTCAATTTTGATCAAAGGGCTGCAGTTCTCGAAGAAAGACTTGGAATAGAAAATGTCCAGAGGTGGAACCAGTACGGATGAGATCCCAACTACTTACCACAAGGTGGTGCTCCAGGAAGCTTTAATCAAGGTAATCGTTAGTCTTTGGAACAGTTAGTAGATTCTATCTAGTAGTTAGATTTTATTATTGTCGTAGATATTTGAATGCTTGCTTGTTTACTCAGAGATTCCTTTATTACGGATATTCCAAGAAAAATCCCTAAACCAAATCTTGCAACTCTTGTATCTCTTCGAGTTACCTTTTCTAGAAAGCTTCCGTTTTAAGAAAACCTGTTCGTTTAACTTTAGTTTCGAAGACGAAACTTCTTTTAAGGAGGGTAGAATGTGACAACCCAAAAATATTTTTCCTAATTCTATTTTAAAAAATTCCAAAATATTTATTTTCACTCTTCCAAATTTTTTTCCAAAAATGGTGTATGAATTAAATATTTTAAATCAAGTTTTTAAATAAATTCAATACTAAGAATTATTCTATATTGAAAATCCTAAGTTTCGGGTACATTTATGTACCAAGTTTTGACCCAAAAAGTCAATCTGAGTGAAACCAGAGAGGAACATGTGAAACCTGAACCAAGTGTTTTAATTAGAAACTATCTTTAAAAACAATCTATTTTTGACCCCAAGTTGTCTAAAATCATGTTTACGACCATAGTCTATGTTGTATGATGGACCTTGATGATGTCTTCAAGACAAACAAATATCTGATCTTTTGGAGCAAGTAAATTACCCCTTTTACCCTTCAGCCAATCATTTGTAACCTAGGGTTTTGGACCCTATTAAAACTTCACTATTCCATTGATTTCTCTGATCCTCTCTTTTTCCTCTCCACTCCCAAGCTTTGAGCTATGTAGAAAGAAGAAGAACAATACTGTAAGTTTATTTGCTTTCATCTCACCCATCCATTTTCATCTTCTCTCCTAGGTTATCCATCTTTGCCTTCAATTTCTGAGTTCTTTCCCTTAGGCTTGTGTGTATCTTTGTTGTTTGAGGAGAATAGGTGGTGAAGGAGGTAGTAACTGTGTTAGAGAGGAAAGGGGGATCCACACAAGAGGAGGTAACACACAAGGTATAAACCATGGACTCCCAAACTAAGATTTTATTGCTCTGTAAATGTTAGAAATGTGAGATAGATGTTTGGAAATGCTAGATAATGCTTGTTGATGAGTTGCTTATGTGTTGTTGATGATCTATGATTGATTTATTGAGGTTTGGAGGTGTTTATTGTTGATCTGTGTTGTTTTGTGGTGAAGAAGAAGACACTGGTGCAAACTGTCTGTGCACTAGACAGTCTCACGGACCTAACCAACAGACCTAGGCAAGGTCTGTTGGCTAGCTCCGTGGAGGGACGAACTGTGGGAACGGATCCCAGGAGGATCCGATGCCCAGTGCCGCTGCTTGGCGGAGCCAAGTGGCGAGGCTTCACAAACCCCGTCACCAAGCTCCGCCAGGCCAAAGTTTGTACTGGTCAGGCCCTATGTGGCTCAGCTATGTGTCGTTCGGGCCGGGACTCGTGGGCCCTTGAGGCTCGGACACCCAGGCTCGTTACGACGCGCTAGTAGAAGTTGATTTCGTTTGATTTGGAGTTAGAAAACATGTTTAACAGATAGAAGTTTGAAGAATGAATGCTCTGTGTTGTTCTGTGAACTTGAGGCAGTGAAGGAAAAATGTTAGCATTTGAGCTTATAAATTGTTAAGAAGCATGTTTAATACTTGATAGTATTTATTGAGAAGATTTGCTAAGTTGTTGAGATGTTGGCATGAAACAGTGCATTGGTTCCATTTCACAGTAAATGAGCATGTTGGCATATTTCAATGATTAAAGTGCATAAATGGCTCTAGGTAAAGCCTAAGTTCTATTTCAAAAACCTATATCTATTTTGGAAAATCTCTACCTATTTGCATTGAGAAGATTGCATGATAATTTGATTTCCAAAATGTGTGAAAGAGAAGTTGTTGAGATTTATGTGCATTGCAAAGCTTGCATATTATAGAGTTTATTGCATGAGAAAAGAAGTTGCATGATATATATATATATATATATATATATATATATATATATATATATATATATATATATATATATATATATATGCTATCTATTGTGAGGAAAATAGTATTTAGGAGGCCCATTAGGACTTGGTCCTTTCGGAAGAAAAGAGAAAGAAAGAAGTTTTAGAAAAGAAATAAACGATCATAGAGGACCGACATAGATTTATGAAGTAACTTGATCGATATTCCCGAGTTGCTAGGTTGGATACTACCCGCCGGCCTTGGAATCCTGGTTAGGGGGTGTGCACATTGACAAGTACGATACCTAATTCCACAGAGATTATATAAGAACCAAGAGAGTGGTTCTGTGGGCGAGATGAGTATTTGGCCGGCTAGACGCCGAGCTCGGATAGGTACGTTCACGATTCGTGAAGTTCCTACCTCGCCCGCGAGTACAGAAAGAGAGCAAGATAAAAGAAAGAAGAGAAAAGTGATTCATGTGACTCAACAGAAACCTCCACAGAAAATGTTCTTTTTTATATAAAGAGTGAGAATATCTCTATACTTAAAGCATCATGTCATATCTTATTACATGACTTAGCATGAGTTGCATTTAGAGCATTTTGAGAAGTAAAGTTTTGTTGTTGTTTAGGAATTGGCATGATGGCATGATCTTGCTTGTTGAGTTTCAGTTATCTCTTTATCTATCAGTTTGAGTATTGCAATGTGTAAAAGTTGAGTATATGAGGAAAGCATGATTATAGGAAGTATAGGTTGCAAGTATATAGAAGTGTTTATGAGTATATATTGAGGTTGTTGACTAAGTGTTGTAATTGATTATATTCATACTTGAGATTACGTGTGAATGTCAAATATTTTTCAAATCTATATCTATAGTACTTTGCAGGGTTGAGTGGTTTTATACTTAGCATTAATTTGCTAACGGGTTTATTTTCCTACTTGTTTTATAACCCCTTTCAGGTGGGTCCAGTGTTTGAGAGCGCACGTGGTAGTTAGTGCGTAGGTATGAGGTGGTAGTTACTAGACTAGTCTCTACCCTTAGTTGAACTGGTGTTAGATGTTGCTTAAACTGATCTTTTATGGTGCGTGGACACTGGGGTTTGTTACCCAAGTTTTTGGTGTTTGTAGAGCTTGACTCTAGTTGGTTAACTGTTTTTGTAGCCTGCGCAGTCACCGTGAGTGGTGGCTGTGGCGGTAGCACCCTTAGTGATCTTTTGAATGGTTTTAGCTATTTAAACCTTGATTTTCATCTTGTTTAAGTTTAATTATTTGGGATTTAAATTTTAGATAAAGGGGGTGTTACGACAACGGTGAGAGTTTGGGGCGATCCGTGGCTTCCGGATTCTCATAATCCTTATGTGGTCACACCGTATCCTATATATTTAAATAACCCCATGGTCTGCGCTCTTTTTCACCCGGGGGCCACTACTTGGGATAAGGATTAGTTCATGATATTTTCAATGAGAGAGATGCTCAACTAGTGTTGAATGTACCCACACCATCTAGTCAAATTCCCGACTCGTGGTTTTGGGAGGGGGAGGTGAGTGGGGGGTATTCCGTTAAGAGTGCATATAGGTGCATATAGGACAATCTCTAATAATTGGGAGGGAGATAATAGTAAGAGTTGGGTAGGGGTTTGGAATTTGATCATCCCTCCAACGGTCAAGTGTTTTTTCTGGACTTTATGTACGTTACATTTACCCACTAAGAATGTTTTGGCTATTAAACAGGTAACATGTGATTATGTACGTCACATTTACCCACTAAGGATGTTTTGGCTATTAAACATGTAACATGTGATCCTTTTTGTCCTTTGTGTGGCGAGGATTGGGAATCGGTGGTGCATTTATTTGCAGATTGCAAGTTTGCTCATGCTAGTTGGGGAGAGATTGATGCAGGGTGGAGACGGGGTCTGGTAGCATCGGCGATGTGGTGTGTGTTATAAAAGGAGATGCTAGAAAAGGTTATTATGGTATGTTGGGTAGGTGAGTTTAAATTTTGTCAAGCGAGATGCAAATATGCCTGCTCTCTGTCTTGCTAAACAGTCGTTAAATACTTAGATAACCCGGAAGAAGGCTTAGTCGAATACTTTGATTTTATTCCTCAATTTATTTCTATGCTACTTGTAACGACTTTTTAAAGTATTAACATATGCGTTTTCGTCTTGATTCTCAATAATAATAAAAAAAAAAAAAAAATTTATCGTGATTCACAAATTCACAACCATAACCTTGTTCCATCACACTTTTTATATTGAATTGACCATCATTGACAAATTCATTCAATTATACACAAGAAAAAGAAAAAATAAAAAATAATCATTGTTTTTCAATTCCCATGTGTTCGGATCAACTAACGACTTGCTTCAACTTTTAACGATTCAATTTTTCATAAAATTTACATAAAGATGCTCTCTTTATGAATGTTGTTCTGCAGCTCTCCTTATGCAATAATGAAGAAATAGAGAAATGTAAATTATCAAAAACAAAAATTTCACCCAACATTAACTGCAGATAAATTCCAAAGATAACTGAATATATATCAAAACAACAGGTGCATGCATGCATAACAGTAATGATCCCAAAAAAAACAAAACTCACAAAGTACATCTTATATTAAGTTTCAAAATCTTGGTCAGAGGAACTAGAAAACTAACTAATGTGCTAGGCAGATACTTTGAAATTAAGAGGTTTAAGCAGCTGCATCTATAAATGCATTCCCAGGTTTGCGATTTGCAAGACGCCCATGGCATCCCAAAAGCTAGGGGAAAAAGAAAGGAAAAAGGCGTCTCAGATACAGATAACATGAAAGCAACACTAGAAGGTGTGAATTTATAATGATAGAAGAATCTAACCTTGGCATTGACACCATCAGGTACAATACGGCCTTCCTTCTTGAAGTTGACATAGTCTGTGCGACTGAACTTCGTGAAGCCCCTACACACATAACATGGGAGAAAATTTTCATTTCAGGATAAGGGAACAAAAGCATGCTAGACAAAAAGATAATCAAATCACTAGTTACTAATTCTGAACCATAGCTCTAGATTTGGAAACCCAAGCTTAGGACTAAGAGATTTCTAACAGAAATCTATGTAAGTTGTATACTCAAGTCAACAATTAAAAGCGACACATGAAACCAGAGGTACAAGGACAGTTCAAAGAATTGTTTAAGAACAATTGTTAAGGGCCTTAAGGCAATTCATGTGTGTGTATTTTATCCTATATAGTGCAATGCTTCAAGATTATAAAAAGATCAATGCAGAATAAATACCATTTCCTGCTAACAATGATCTTTTGACGGCCAGGGAACTTGAATTTGGCACGGCGCAAGGCCTCCTGTGCATTGTTGCTGTTTGAATCCTTGCAGCGGACCGATAGAAGAACCTGACCAATGGCAACACGGGCACACGTACCCTGTGGCTTGCCAAAAGCTCCACGCATTCCAGTTTGGAGCCTATCAGCTCCAGCACACGACAACATCTTGTTAATACGAAGAACATGGAATGGGTGAACCCTCACCCTTAGGTGGAAGGCATCCTTCCCTGCAAATTTTGTCATATACTTATTGCAAGCAATACGAGCAGCTTCAAGAGCCTCGCTTGAGACATTCTCCTTCTCCCAACTGACCAAATGCACACAGAATGGGAATTCATCAACCCCCTTCTTCTTCATTCCGACATCATAGATCCTAATCTTTGAGTCGGGCACACCACGGCAGTACCTTGACTTTGGGTACGGCTTATTCTTAATCTGCCGGTAACACCGTGCTGGCCCTGATTGCAGTGTAGAAATCACAGTATTAAATTGTGAACATTTAATATAGAAGGTATTGGAGAGTACAAACCATGTTAACTACCCTACAAGATGTAGGGGGGTGGTGTCAAATACAATAACTTCAAGGCAGAAAAAAGTATTGCCAAATCCAACTACCACAATCAACAAAAGTTCTAGCATAAAAACAGAAGCACCAAACAAATTCTCTCCATGCCAGACAGGGTATCAAGGATATCATCCTTCATTTCTTTCAAGAAAACCAGACTATATAATTCCAACTCATTTCATACTTTTTATAGAGCACATTCTTTAACTTGAAATATCAACAGCATTTCTTATCTAATTAACTCAATCCCCATCATCAGTCTAAGAAATATTGGAAACTTGTATATTAGCACCAGCTCAAGCAATTAGAAAGCAAATACTGCATTGCATTCTTACTAGAAAGAATCGGATGCACAAAAGCTCAGAAAATTACGAGTAACAAAACATAGACCCATAGTTACAATAACAAATTTTAGCTCTAAAACTAACGAAAACACACATTCCCAATAACTCGCATGAAAACCATAGCTCAGAAAAACCGAATAAAATCAAAACTACAATCTATTAAAAAAAAAAAAAAGTTACACGACAGCATTCAAACTCAATTAACATACGTAAGGAAATTGAAGAAATACACAAACAAATCTACTTTCATATGTTTCAAATTTTACTATCAAAACTATTTCTATCATTTCAAGTAACGATAACAACAGTATATATCTTAATGTGCGTGCATTTGTGAATAATTGATGGACATATGCTTAATGAAAGAGGAGGGTATCTCACTTCTCCCCATGGCAACGGCCGAGGTTTCTTCTTCTCCTAATCTGTCGCCGGCGACTCCCAGCCCGCCTAGGGTTTCAGCTGAAAATAGTTAAATAGGGAGCTGAGACAACTATAGAAAGCCCTAAGGTGATGAAATTATAGTGGGCAGTATGGGCTTGCATTGGGTCGGCTTAAGAAATGGATTAAACCTCACTAGGTCAGTTTGTTGCAATCGTTATACCCTACACCACGGCACACATAGCACTGTGCGCCGCGCGTCTCCCAAAATGACGTCGTTTTGAGATCGTTTTGTGAGGCGCGGTAGGAAGTTGCTGGGATTATGTGTATTTGTTTACACAGTTATGTGTATTTTTTCATACAGTTATGTGTATTGGTTCATACAGTTATGTACATTTTTTATACAATTATGTACATTCTTTTTATACAATTATGTACATCCGAATCAGAAAATTTGTGTGTATTATGTTAATAGTTGATGTGTATTATGTTAAAAGTTTATGTTTATTATGTATTATGTTAGATTATGTGTATTATCTTTTAAAAAGAGTATGTATATTTTGTTATATAATTATGTACATTCATGTATACAATTATGTGTATTCTAGTATAACAATTATGTACATTCTTGAACAGCGGGTTTTTTTTTTAAGAAAAAACTACTGCCATTCACTGGGGCGGGAAATTTCAAAAAAAAAAAAAATTAAAACGACGTCGTTTTGCATCTGGGCGCATATTGCAACGCGCGCCGTGGTGTACGATATAAATTGCCAGTTTGTTGATGGCAAATTATTATGTGGACCATGGTTCACATAGTGCAATTTATATTCTGCACCAGGGTGCGCATTGCATTGTGCGTTCTAATGCAAAACGACGTCGTTTCAGTTTTTTTTTTTTTTTTTTTTTTTTTTTTTTAATTTTGCTCCCCTGTGTTGGCGGTTAATTTTCTTTTTAAAAAAATCTCATGTTCAAAAATGTATATAATTGTATACATGAATGTACATAATCCTTCTATATATTAAAACCATATAGCCATGGCCAATCAAATTGTCACATTTTCCAGCCCAAATAAACCTACGGCGTTTTGGGTCTTCTCTTAAACTTTTATTTTTTTTTTCCGGTCAAATTTCTCTTTAGACAATTCTTTTCTACAAGAAAACTTTTCGTATACCGATACATCTGCTAGTAGTATTCTACATAATGTATAATACTTAATTAACTATCTTGGTTGGCTCCTTGGAATTTGATCCAGATCAGAGCCTTAATATAAGCAGTCGAACAGTTTTTGAAAGAGTTAATTCCTTTTTTGGTCCTAGACTTGTGGTGGCAAAGACAATTTTAGTCCTTCATAAAAAATTTGGACAATTTATTGACACACTTATTGTGACGAGGACAATTTTGGTCATCCGTCTGCATTCCCGTTAAATGGCTGTTTGAGAGGAATGTATTTGCGTCATTTCATGCTATATGCTTCTCTTTATTCCCTATCTTATGTATTTATTCCGTCAACCAATGCCTAATCAATGGCGGCCACGATATCAGAGAGCTGAGCGCCTTGTACATAGCAAGTTAGCAACCTCGAGCCTTGGGAGCTATACTGATGGCGTAGCCGAAAAACGCAAGAAGTATCCTGAACTATCCCTCTTCTTTTTTGACTCTGTTTTGCTGTAGAAGCTCCCCCATCGAGTTTGGGTCGCAGAAGCGCCGGCCTACCGGAACGGGGAGACGTGTCCTGAGCACTCCGATCGCCAATCTGAACAGAGGGGATTGATCTGGACACCGTGTCAACACCAGCCACGACCTCCGATCACCCATGCAGAGGCTCCATTGACGACAGAGTGACCAAACATTGGAAGACGCAGCGGACCTCCGATCGATCCCCCCCCCCCCCCCGCCCCCCCCCCCCCCCCGCCGATTATTGGTGATCGATCTAAGCCCTTCCCTGACTTCAATCCCATCACCCAATTGATGATCCGCCAGTGTGATTGCCATCCGGGAGGCGAGAGACGAAGAACTAGGGTTTTCACGATTCGTCGCACTCATCTGAATTTCAGAGGGTCGCTTGCAATTATCATCTGATGGCAAAACGAGTATCTCTGAGGCTCTCAAAAGTTCGTCACCACTCTGAAGACGCTTAATCACCGATCGTGACAGAGTGTATCCCTTCTGATGCAACTCTGATAGAATATTCCCAATACCGCGAACGGCGTCTTCCACCGGGGCTGGAGGGGTTGGAGTCAATTGACCCCTCTCCATGATCGCCTCAATGTGGCGCAGAAAATGGCCAAATCAGATTGCCAAGACGATTGACGTCGATGCTGGAATTTTGCGGTCAAAATTGCTAGTTTTCTCGCAAATCGCCAGAGCGTGCGTGAATTTGGAGGAAGGTGAAATTGATGCATCGAAATCTTTGATTGAAAGAATTTGGGTGGGAATTTTGGGTGAGGAGGTGAATTTGGAGGGTTTTAGTAGCAAATTGAGTTTGAGAAACTGTCATTGTATTGTGTTCATTGTGGTAGGGTTGGACATTCTTTGAATGGTTGTTGGAGAAGGGATTCGCCTGAGACTGGAAAGGGCCGAAGGGGGGGGGTGGTGAGAATGAGGGGTTTCCGGCGATGGAGTTTGCTGGCATTGTTTCCTTTTGATCCAGAGATGAACACTGCTGAGATATTTCCGGCGTCGATGAGCTTCTACAGCAAATATGTATTGTTTATGTCACATTTTGCAAACCAACGTCGTTTATGCTATAGGATCAAAAGAATAATCCGAATTGACACAAATACCCCTCATTTAGACGGTCAACTAACGAGATAATAGACAGAGAATCAAAATTGTCCTCGTCACAAGAAGTGTGTCTATAAAGACATAAATTGTCCAAATTTTTAATGGAAGACTAAAATTGTCTTTGCCACCATAAGTTTAGGACCAAAAAAGGAATTAAATCTTTTTGAAATTATTAAAATTCTTAATTCTTAATATAAACAAACAGAATACTTAATAGCTTTTCTAAAGAAAAATATATACTTAATATAATAGAATCAAATTTGAACTCTACCTAGCAACCTAATCAGAAGACGTTTCAATCTTCGGTGCAACATAATCATTCAGCTTCATTAATGTTTCCTCCTTCGAGAAGTCCCCTTGCAGAAGCATCCTTCTATAAATACTATACTCTAGCATACTACAATTGAAATATACCGTAGGAAAGAGTTTGCTAAGTGTATGTTTAGGCTTAACAGTTTTGATGAAATTCTAGCTAGGTCTAATTACTCCTGAGAAGTTATTAATCGGTTAGTAAACAATACTTTTTATTTACACTCTAAATTCTTCAATCTTTGGCTTTTTATTTACACTCTAAAGTCAATTTTTTTTTGTCAAATATGTTCTTCTAGATGTCATTGACAGGGTTGTTGAGTTTTATCCTCTACAGAAAAAGAATTTAGGAGGTTACCCTTCAAAACTTGTGGATTTTATTATTGAAGACTCCAAGTAAGTTCAGAAATTTGTAATTCTTGAATGAATACATTTACTAACAATATAAATTTTTTTTAATATGATAATATACACTATTTTAAGAACAATAGGATTAAATTCACACTATGGGATTCACATGTACATGATGTCCTGCCCTATTTTACTGAAAATGTTTATGGCCCTATAATTATCCTGTTGCAAATGTGTAGAGCAAAGCACTTAGACAGTAAGTTTCACCTTCCTTTTATAATTATTTTATACCCATTGCCTACCTAACATAAACATCTAACAACTTATCTCTTAATCTCAGCTGAAGTCAGAATATCAAGTTCATATAATGCAACCAAGGTTTGGATAAATCATGATTGTCAAGAGTTTGAAGTATTCAAGGCTAGGCAAATTTTTATTTTCCATCAATGGCTATTTTTTTTATTAACTATCTGACCATTGAAATTTATTCCAGTTTGAAGGATAATCAGACTCCTATTAGGAGCATGACCAATATTTCGACATTTTCATACCCTAATAGTTAGGAATATTCTAGCAAGAAACCTATGATTGTCAGCACCACAGCTGAAATTTATAATAGGGCTGAGGTAATACTCATTACAATCTCTTAGTTGTATCCAAATAATATTATTAGCTTCCTTTTTTGATCATTCAAATCTCTGTTCTATTTTACTATAATACAACAGCCAGACTATTACCATGTTCCTGCAAAAATCAATGGATTGGAGAGTGCCAAACAATGGTACTACTATTCTTGCAAGTCAGCAGGCTGCTTTAGAAAACTTGACAAGAAAAAGTCCTTACTGTGGCCTGACACTTGCAAAATTAGTTGGCAACTAGGAATTCCAAGGTACAGGTCAGGTGTTAGAGTTTCTAACAAGTCTGGGGATGCACCTTTTCTGCTATGGGATGATGAATGTGTTGAGTCATTAGGATTGAGTGCTTATGATCTCAGAAACAAATACTTGGAGGTATACACTTTTTTATCTACCTATATATTGTATTCTGGGCTTTAACATTTCACACATTAAAAATTTTGAAAAATTTGACTATGATTATAATTTGCATGATTTTACTCAGATTCAAAGAGAATTTGATTCTCTCAGGAACAAAGCTATGGTTTTTAAAGTCTCAGTGAAGAATGAGCACATTAAAAACCCTTTATTAGTTATTCCTGTATTGAACATAACGCAGGATGAAGATTTGGTGGTAACACAGTGTACCCTTACAGATGAGAATGATGAGCTATCAAAACTAATTGCTCAAGAAGAAGAAGGTGATGACCTAATGTACGTAATTGACCTATTATACAGTTTGTTTTCTGTTTGGTTTTTTTTTTTTGAAAGTTGTTTTCTGTTTGGTTTGATTGTTTTTATAAATCAATTTTTTTTAAAATCAGGATTATGAATCTGGAGATAGTTCTGATGAGGCCAGTAGTCCTGCTGTTCAGCAAATTCAAAAACCTATGAGGGCAGAGACTGATGAATAGATATCTCCAGGTTCAACCAAGAGAAATTTGATGAACTAATTCTCATCTACTCAGGATGCAAAAAAATATAAAGCTATAGTTATCAAGCCGGAGAAAAATTGAATAGAACGACTGTGTTGTTCTAATGTGGTATATTTTTATATTTTAATATTTAGAATTTTATGACTGTGCATCGTACGGGTGAAATACTAGTTGTATAACAAAATACACATACTTTAAAAAAAAAAAAAGATAATACATATAATCTAACATAATACATAATATACATAAACTTTTAACATAATAAACATCAACTCTTAACATAATACACATAAATTTCCTGTTTCGGATGTACATAATTGTATAAAAAAAGATGTACATGATTGTATAAAAAATGTACATAATTGTATAAACAAATACACATAATTGTATAAACAAATACACATAATTATATAAAAATACACATAATCACGACAACTCCCTACATAACTTACCAAAACGACATCGTTTTGGGAGGCACGGGGCGCACAGTGCTACGCGCCCCGTAGTGCAGGGTATAACAGTTGCCACATAGTGTTGCATGGACCATAAAAGAAAGTACACTTTTAATGTACTAAAAATATATTATTTGTGTATTGAATATACATTATATAAAATAATGTACTTTTAGCATTCAAATAATGTACTTTTCCTAAAAACAAAGTATATTTTTAATATACTGAAAGTACATTATTTGTATACTAAATGTATATTATTTTTATAGTATACAAAATATGTTCCACACAATAATGCTTGTTTTTTGACAACTATAAAAAGCCCGAAATCCTATGTTAAGTTTACTCCGGTATGGATTCTGCAAATAATCTGAGTGGGGTTGGAAATTAAATGACATTAGAAATGTCAATGACAAAATATCAAACAGTCAAAGGTTAAAATACAAAATATATTATAAATTACAATAGAATTTTTTTTTTTTTTATAGATTACATGATAGTTAGGGTCGGAACCAAAAATATACTTGAGTGGGTGAAAATGTAAAAATATTGTTAGATATTGGTGAATAAATCGATACACAAGATATATATAAAATATATATTTATACTGAAAATTAGAATTTAATTTATAGAAAATTAATTCCAACCAATTTTGGTACAAAACCAAAATTACATATATATATATATATATATATATATATATATATATATATATATATATATATATATATATATATATATATATATATATATATATATATATACTACTACTACTACTACTACTACTACTACTACGTATATATATTAACAAAATAGGGATTTATTTTATCAAAAATAATCCCACCACAACTAGTACAAGGGATTTAATCCGTACGAGATTAATCCCACCACTTGGTACGAAACTAAGAACACAATATATAAAACAAGAAAGTGTTTCTAACCTAAGGTTTTAACCCAACGCGAAGAAAAAGAAGAAGAAGAAATTTGAGTCGTGTGTACACACACTCTCCTTAAAACCGCCTTAAAACCGATTCGCCACCTCCCGGGGGTGCTAGGAGCGTTGTGGCGTCAGTCTCTCAGGATAAAACGGACTACGACTTTGGTGTTCGAGCACTCCAACCCAAAGGCCGGTGAATAAGAACACAAGTTGAGCACTCCGATATTTTATGGAAGATGTTGGCAGAAATTTTCTCTTTGTAAAAAAATTGAGAGTTGGGAGAAAACAAAGAAAGATTTTGAGAATTTCAAATGGCGTGTAAATCATTCTGCCAACATCTTAGCTTTTTGTAGGAGAAGAGGAATAAAAAGTATCATAATGGCCCCTGGTTTACTCTATATTACTATTTACTCTCTCCGTCTTATTTTATATATTTTGATTCAATTAACGTGACTTGATGTTGCGAACTACTATCTAGTGTGATGACACCTCTGTTACCATTCCAAATGGGTGGTCAAAAGAATTATCGGTGTTTCAAAAAAAAAAGTGACTTGATGTTATTTATAAATTAAATTTTTTATAATATTAGGATCAATATTAGTATATGAATTTTATATATTTAAAAATTATAAGAGAATACTAAAAAAATAAGCAAATGAAAAAATGGTAGTTTGACAAATGAATAATAAATATGAGCAATAAATTGGGACATATGGAGTATTTTTTTGTCAATCTTACCTTCTTTTTTTAACCTGAGGGTATGCATTAGTAATCTCGTCTTGTGACCTTAGCCGGCAAAGGATCACAATGAGGCCAATAAACTACTCCCACTAAGAGTTGAATTTTTAATACTATGATTACCAAGTCAACCGTCTCACCAGGTTAAAGCACCAAAATTTGGTTACATTATATGGATGCTCATCAAGGCATAACCGTGAATTCATCCTTGTATATGAATATATCCCGAATGGAACACTTGCAGATCACCTGCATGACAAAAGAGCAGCAGATCGACTGCTCACGTGGCCAATCCGCATGAAGATTGCAGTGGAAACTGCTGCAGCATTGGTTTATCTCCACGCTTCAGACATAATACACCGTGATGTGAAGACTAGTAACATACTTCTCGACAACAATTTCTGTGTTAAAGTTGCATATTTTGGGATCTCAAGACTCTTCCCTCCTAATATCACTCATTACACCACAACACCTCAAGGAACACCTAGATACGTTGATCCAGATTATCATGAGTGTTATCAGCTCACTTATAAGAGTGATGCTTATAGCTTTGGTGTTGTTCTTATAGAACTCTTATCATCAATGCCTGCTCTGGACATGCGTAGGCATACAGACGAGATCCATTTGGCAAAACTAGCAATGAGCAAGATTCTTACAGGACCATTTGATGAACTCATTGATTCCTCTCTAGGATATGAGAAGGATACTGAAAATAATAGAATGACGACTTCAGTGGCAGCGCTAGCTTTTCAATGCTTGCAACCTGACAAGGATATTAGGCCTACAGTGGAACATGTTTTGGAGTCACTAAAGGAGATTCAAGGCAATCAGTTGAGCAACGATGGTGAAAGATGTATAAATGAAGCTACTGCTCACATGCTAGCAAGAGAAGCTATTTCTTTGTCTGATTGTATGGAATGGGCTAATTATTGCCCTTTGTTTCTATGTAATGTTTTGTCTTCGGACTTTAGTTGAATGCATCCTTCGTTTTTTTTTTTTTAAAGAATTTCTTGCTCAACATAGACAAATTAAAGATAAAGAAACTCATTATGCACTCCATAATGCATTGATTGAGCATTTGTGGGAACGTTATAGTAATTCTGACAATTAAATGTAATAGATATTTTAAGCTATATTATTATTGTGGAATAAAATGAATTTTACAAAATAATGTTAAATTAGTTTTTAAAAAAATTAATGTTAAATTGTAGTAAAATATTATTATTTACCGCACAAATTATATTTTATATCAAATTATTTAAGTTTGAACTAATAAAGTTTTAAATGTTGAGAAATCAAATTATTCTAATGTAGAATAAAATTTGGTGTAATGGTTAGAGAAGAATAAAATTTAGTGTGAGAATATGTTGAGAATATTAAACCGTTTTCTGTTTTCTAATTTTTAAGTTTTCATTATCTGTTTTCCATTCTTTATTTTCTGTTTAGAAAAATTGTTTTTTTTTTTTTAAAGCAAAAACCGCAAGCATATAATATTAATTCAAAAGAGCAAGAACAAAGTAAGGCGGGACAGAGTCCCAGTACAAAGAACTATCCTGGCCAGAGGCTTGCGAAGCTAAAGTATGAGCAATCAAATTTAGATGTCTAAGAATAAAAAACAAAGAGCATGAATTAAACAAAGCCATAAACCGTAAACACTCATCAATCACAACTCCAGCACAGGATCTTGGCTTAGTAGCTGCAGTAGTAACATAGCGGTGAAGAACCGAGCAATCAGTATGTAAGGCTACCTCGGCAACCCCATGATCTCGTAGCCACGAGAGGGCCTCCTTGCATGTTAACGACTCTGCTGTAAGAGGGTTTGCACAATGCGAGAGCACACAATTCGTGGCTGCCATGAAATTGCCACTAGCTGAGAAGAGGACCGCGTCGTACGAAGTCGAACCTGTGGTCGGCGTGAAGCTAGCATCGAAATGGCAAAGATGGGCAGTGGGCATCAGCAACGGCTGCTGTGGCGATGCATCAGCATGTCGACTTCCAACAACGGATTCCGAAGCCGAGAGGGCAGTGGCAGCAGCTCTCCAAACACGCACCATATAGCAGCATTTCTCTCCTTCCAAATATAATAGAGAGCAGCATCAAACTTAACAATAACAACATGAGTTAACATAGTCATCGCATACTGGAACCATTTTGTAAAATTTTCCCTAACAAGAAAAGAAACCAGGAGTTGGGACTCATGCCAAACAAGTTTGGCAAACTCACACTCCACAAGTGAGTGCATTGTATCTTCATGATAGGTGGCACACATAGGACATGAGGGACTCACATCCACCCTCCTTATAAGAAGGCTAGTTGTAGTAGTGAGAATTCCATTGATAACTCTCCAAAGAAAAATTGCTTACTAACACTTATTTGTTGGGTAATTAGGTGGAAAATCCCAAAATAATAATAATCCTAAGGAAAGATTAATATTATAAGGGAAAACAGAAAAATTGGAAGGAAAATGTTGAGTGTTTGGGTAGGTTTAGCACGAGTTCGAACACGAAGTTCTTTTCCTTAAAACCTTATTTGCTACCTCCCACAAGTGCTAGGAGCGTTGTAGCCTAGGTTTCCCAGGATAAAACGTGCTACGATTCCTTGTTTAAGCACCTAAACAAGGAACCCGACAAACAAAGCAAAGCTTAGAACACTGGTTGGCTAAAAGAAGAGAGTAGAAGCAGAGTTTTGAGATGAAAAGCTACTGGAATTCCTTTTTGTTTCTCACTGTGTAAAATGCTACTGCTTCTACCTCTCTTTATATAGGGATGTTGGAGTGATAACATTCAACATGGCCATTAAATTGGTGTTAAAATCAATTGTGTAACACCTGTAACGGTCACCACTAAGTAGGATTTAAGCTCAGAATTTAAAAATTGGAATTAAAACAGTATTAATTCCGTAACAGATGAGTTTAATCTTCTGCACTTTTGGGTTTCAGACTGTTGGGGTGCACGAGAGTACACACTCTCGTGCTGTGGTATACCACGAGAGTACACCTCTCGTGCTATGGTGCAACACGAGAGTACACCTCTCGTGTTCACCGTTGCACGAGAGTCTTGCTCTCGGTGCACCACAACCTCTCGTGCTCTCTGTAGCACGAGAGTGGTGTTCTCGGTTTCGGCCGAGCCAAGTGACTATAACAGATGGAAAACGATACCAAAGTTTGGCATAACTTAGCCCGCAAGGCCAGCCAATTTCCGGACGACATTCGTGCCCGCAGGTGCCAGCGCACGCGAGCTCGGGCTTGAATCAAGCCTTTTTGATGTCCTCTAGTTGGATTTTGATTTGCACCCCCCCCCCCCCCCCCCCCGCGCGAGAGAGCCTCTATGCTATACAATTCTACAAGCTTGAAAAGAGCTCATGTATATAAGGGGGGCAAATCAATGTGGGACAAAGTCCTACATTTTCCCTTCATTTCCCAACTTAAATGGGTCTACTTTGAGAATCAATATCTCATTCACCCATTATCCGTTTTGAGCGTACAATATATCAATATCTTCGTCTTACTACGAAGAACCCGAATCCACTTTGACCCGACCCAAATCGGAAGTGGACCTCACTGATAATTGTACCACAAAATAGCCACTTAACATGCCATTTTAAGCTATTTTTCCAACAATCCCCCACATGAATGAAAATTTGATTTTTCGGGGTATTTTGAAACGGAAAAAACTATGTTCAACGGTTGATCCCTGCATAGGATAGGTAGGGTCACACCCTTTGAACCTTCCCTCGTGAAGATACATTTACTTTACTGGCGGTACGGTAGAACGCGATGTCTTTGAACCGACTGCCGTTTGTGTAGACGATGACATATCTCACACAGGAACCTCCCAACCATGCTTTGTTCTCATGATTGTGCCCATTTTGGCCGTGGGTCACCATTCCTGGTTCTGCAAGAGTTTGTGAAGAATTGTGCTCGTCAATTCTCCTTTGAAGCGACCCTCACTTCTCTCTCACATAGGTGATTCTTTCCCGAGTATCCCGCATACTCACATATGTCAACCGACATTTGAATCACTAAAGCATTTAGCATGCTAACCTTGTGCGGGAGCCACTGTTTCTAACGAGGAGTGGCAGGGAATCCGAGACCCCCACAGTGACACGCTCCATTCCATAATTGAGTTGTCCCATTGAACCTAGGTGCCAGCTAGGTTAGGTGTCCACTATAGAACTTATACCAAGGGCTTTAGACCCATTCCTCGTCTCAACTTCTCCACAGCTACTCTACATAACCCTTTGGTTAGCGGATCCGCTATATTGTCTTCTGACTTTACGTAGTCAATCGAGACAACACCAGTTGTGAGAAGTTGTTTAATGGTATTATGTCTACGACGCACATGTCTAGACTTACCATTATACATATGATTCTGTACTCGTCCAATTGCAGCTTGACTATCACAATGCACACACATTGGAGGTACAGGTCTTTCCCAATTAGGAATATCCTCTAAAAAATGGCGTAGCCATTCAGCCTCTTCACAACATTTGTCCAAGGCTATCAGCTCAGATTCCATCGTGGATCTAGCTATCACGGTCTGTTTAGAGGATTTCCATGCAACGGCTGCACCGGCTAGTGTAAACACGTAGCCACTCGTGGACTTGGAGTCCTTAATATCGGATATCCAGCTAGCGTCGCTATACCCTTCAAGTACATCAGGATATCTCCCATAGTGCAGTCCAAGGTCTCGAGTATACCTTAAGTATCTCAGAACCTTCAGTATTGCCGTCCAGTGCATGGCACCGGGGTTACTCGTATATCTACTGAGTTTACTAACCGCAAAGGCAATATCCGACCTAGTACAGCTCATTAGATACATCAAACTACCAATAACCCGAGCATATTCTACTTGAGAAATACACTCCCCGTGGTTCTTGGTTAGATGAACGCTTCGATCTAATGGCGTCCTAGTCCCTTGATGATTATCCTTGTTAAATTTTTCAAGGATTTTATCAATATAATGTGATTGGCTTAACACCAGACCATCAGGTCTTCTAATGATTCTAATCCCGAGGATTAAATCAGCCAAACCCATATCCTTCATGTCAAATCTTGCATTTAACATCCTTTTGGTAGACTTGATCATCCGATCGTTACTACCAACGATGAGCATGTCATCTACGTACAAACAAAGAATGACATAGCCGTCTATCGTTTCCATAACGTAGACACATTTGTCACTTTCGTTTATTTTAAATCCATTGGTCAACATCGCATGGTCAAACTTCTCGTGCCATTGCTTAGGCGCTTGTTTTAAACCATATAGCGATTTAACCAACTTACCCACTTTCCTTTCTTGGCCCGGAACCACGAACCCTTCGGGTTGTTCCATATAGATTTCCTCATCTAACTCGCCATTTAGGAAAGCGGTTTTAACGTCCATTTGATGAACTTCCAAATTCCGCAGCGCGGCTATAGCAAGTATCATTCTAATGGAGTTTATTCTCGTCACGGGAGAATACGTGTCGAAGTAATCAAGGCCCTCGCGTTGCCTGTAACCCTTGATTACAAGCCTAGCCTTATACTTCTCGATGGAACCATCGGGTTTCATCTTCCTTTTAAAGACCCACTTGGATCCTAAGGGTTTACTACCCGGAGGAAGATCAACAAGTTCCCAAGTGTGATTCTGTAAAATAGAATCCACTTCACTTTTAATAGCCTCTTTCCACATTGGTCCTTCTGTAGAAGTCACGGCTTCTCCGTACGTTCGAGGCTCGTTTTCTATCAAACAAGATAGAAAATCGGGTTCATTTTCTAATAAACAAGTTAGAGTACTCGAATCGTACTCCAACAAGTAAGTTAGAAAATCAGGACCAAATGATTTTCCAACTCTCGCCCGCTTACTGCGTCTCGGCTCGAGCTCGGGTTCTCTCTCGGATTCCCCACTATCATTATCCATAGCTTCATCAAACGTTCGTTTTGACAAACTTGGTCCCTCGTTGGACCTACAAGGAAATACATTTTCAAAGAAAGATGCATTCCTTGATTCTATTATCGTGTTCTCGTGTACGTCCGGATTGTGGGACTCGTGTACTAAGAACCGATAAGCACTACTATTATGTGCATAGCCAATAAAGATACAGTCCACCGTCTTGGGACCTATCTTTACTTTCTTAGGTGTTGGCACCAGAACTTTGGCAAGACACCCCCACACTTTCAGGTACTGGTAGGAAGGTTTCCTACCGTTCCACAGCTCATAAGGAGTCTTATCAAGCTTCTTGTGGGGTACCTTATTTAAAAGATAATTACTTGTCAAAATAGCCTCACCCCACGCGTCTTGAGGTAGGCCCGAACTTATAAGCATCGCATTCATCATATCTTTCAATGTACGATTCTTTCGTTCGGCAACACCGTTCGATTGAGGTGAGTAAGGTGCAGTACGCTTGTGTATTATACCTACACTCGCACAGAAATCACCAATAGGTGCTTCGTACTCACCACCTCGATCGCTTCTAACTTTCTTAATCTTACGATTAAGTTGGTTTTCAACTTCATTCTTATAAAGAATGAATTTTTCCAAGGCTTCGTCTTTGCTTTTAAGCAAATACACATAGCAATAACGTGTGCTATCGTCGATAAATGTGATAAAATATTTATTACCACCTCTCGTTTGTATCGATCTAAAATCGCACAAATCACTATGGATTAATTCTAGTGGTTCAGTTTCCCTTTCAACCGATTTGAAAGGTACTTTCGTTAATTTTGCCTCAACACAAATTTCACATTTGTTATTTGTGTTAATTTGAAAATTAGGAATATGGTCCATGTTAATTAATCTACGTATAGAATTATAATTAACGTGACCTAGTCTACCATGCCACAAATTGGAAGACTCAAGCAAGTAAACGGAAGTAACTTTGCTCTTATTCATGATAATAGGCATTACATTGAGCTTAAAAAGCCCATCAGTTACATAACCTTTGCCTACAAACATTCCTAACTTAGACAAAACAACCTTGTCTGACTCGAACACCATGCGAAAGCCATGCTTGTTCAACAGTGAGCCAGACACCAGATTCTTCCTCAGCTCTGGAACATACAGCATGTTGTTCA